GAAATACTAACGGAAAGTGGTGGACGGTGTGATAGGAAACAAACCCCGAGGACGTAGGGAGCGGCTCTCACGGAACGGGAGCTTACGTTTAGCGATTTAGGGAGTACTTCGGCCAAGGCCAACCAAGTAAGTGGCCTTACTATAGAATAGGCTAAATAATTCTATGAGTTATGATGTTGCGTGGATTATGATGCTTGATGATATGCGTGGTATATACATAATTCGTTGAGTGACGCTTGATATGTTTGACGCACGTTGTGGCATCATGATGAGCATGATGATTGCATGATTTTTACCTTAATATGATGATGTTTTCCATATTGAGCATGCTAGATGATGATGAGTGCCATATTGCATCATGTCGTTAGATCGACGTAGGACACAACCCTAAGAGCATGAAAATGATATTAATATAAATATCCACGAGTATGCGTTACCTAGAGTAACAAAGAGATGAGACTAGAGGGTTGTGTCAGAAGAGACATTACGATGGATTTAGAGGGACCTCATGCATTTTGTATGTTCATAAGCATAGGGCTACTTCCCCTAGAGATGATGAGTGCGGACGCGCACCTTATGATGAGCGCGAAAGCGCACAGGTGCGAAAGCACACAGATGAGGGTGTTCATGAGGCGCATGACACTATGGGGTTCCGCTGACCTCCGGACGTCGCTACAGATTAGCTTGACCAGAGGTTCCAGGGGGTGTGCGAGCGCCCTGGGGACTCACACTCGCACGTGTGAGTCGTGTGTAGGGAAGTACTACACATCCAATTTTTCCGAGACTGGAGGCCACCCCTAAGATGATTAGAGATAGGTCCCTATTCATGATTGCATGTGTTTGCATTAGCATGGCCCCTATAGTGGGGTCACTTACTGAGTATTTCTTTGAAATACTCAGGCCGTGTGCCATATTGTTTTTTTTCCAGGTAAAGGCAAGGCGCCCATGTACGGTTGACGGTGGCATCGCGATCAGAGACTGTGGCGCGTGCATAGGATAGGTGCATATTTAATTCCTAGTCTTAGTTAGAATAGGGCGTTTGCAACCCATTCATCTATATTAATTAATTTGTAGTCGTTTTATTTTATTTTCTTTTCTTTTTGGAACTCTAGCTCAATGTTTGAAACACGTAAGTCCGGCAGTGTTTTCCAAAGTTTTAATGTATTCTGAAGTTTTAAATTTTTCCGCTATTAATAATGAGCATGCTTAGATTTTATTCTGCATTAGAGATGAGCATGAGACGTTAGTGGCGACTCTGGATATGTGGAAATTTAGGGTCGTTACAGCATTGATCATGAAGATCAACCCACACTTGATGAGTTGTCTTGACGTGAATAATGCCTTTAGCGATATCTGGTTCAACGGAATGAGTTAACCAAGATATTATCATACTATTGCACTGATTCCAGAGTTCAAATTCGGTTGAATTTGCATCTTGGGACGGTTCTTCAATTGTGCCATCAATGAAGCCAATTTCTTCTTGGCAATAAGAGCATGCATAACTGATTTACTCCATGATTGGTAACTTGCTCCATTTAATTTGATTGGAACAAGTGAATATCCTGGCTGATGAGTGATGAAGATAATAAGGATGTGTTAAATCAACCTCCTAAATTTTGGAGCTGGATTTGGCTGATTCCGCCATAAAGGAAATTTTAATATTTAAGAACACCAAGATCGGTGCTCTGATACTATGTTAAGAATGAGAAATAAAAATAGAATTGGGATCGAAAGTATGATCTTCATCCATGTTTACCATCGATACAAACTATCACCTAATACCTAAGAATAGAAAAAATATATAATTAACTAAATCTTGTAAATAAATAAAATATACACTTAATCAAATCTAAATGTAACCTAAAATATACTATTAACAGATCCCTAAATATCTGAGATATACTAAATCAACATACTGGCTACATCTGGATTTTGAATTGGCTACAAATATTCTCAATCATTTTCCTAGATCGAGAACTGTGGTTGGCAAACTGTTCTCGATTGTCTGATATCAAGACTACGTCATAAACATCTTCAAATTTCTCATGAAAGCTCAAAGGTGGCATCATCAAGATGTTCATATTTTCTTTCACATCTTTATGGGACTTGATGATGGAATGATTAGATGATGAACAAGCTCTGATATCATGTTAAGAATGAAAAACAGAAGTGGGATTATTCAATCCCACTTCTTTTCTGGAGAATGATATGAACCAAGGCATCAATAATGCAAGATAAAATTCAAGGAAGATGTGAAGAAAATTTTGTTCAAATTATCACAAGATTTTGCAATTCATGACACATTAAGGAAGAATCAAACTTTTTTTATTCTTAAATGGTTACAAATTTTGGGTAGATAATAATACAAAGTTATGGTGTTTCTTTAACGTATTTTAAGACTTTTATTTACTTTAAGATTGAATTTACAAAGTTATAATTATGATCATAAAATATGCATAGTGGCTAATTATGGTCATAAAATATGAACGCTACAACTCTTGTAATGTCTTATGGAAGGTTAAAGGTTTTCATTTTGAGGCTCATGTATGTTATGTGTGTAAGGAGACTTGGAAAATATAGTAAAAGAAGTATTTGTGCTTTCCTTTAGCTAATTGCTAAGATTCATCTCAATTCTATATAGTTTAGATTGTCATTTTATAATCATTCAAGCTTGACATTATCAATCTTACTTGTTGAGTGTTTGAATCTCAAACAAGTGTTATTGCCTTATAATATTTGATCAACAACGTAAACTGAATTTTACTTTCCCTTGGAGTGATTCTTTATCATGAGGGCTAAGTGTTCTTGCCTTTTCCTTTACCAATGGCTAAGTTTCTTTGCAATTCTATGTAGCTTAGATTGCATATTTTGAATCATCCGACTAGACATGATCGATCTTACCTGTGGAGTGATTCGAACCTCAAACAAATGTCCTTTTCTTAAGATATTCAATCAACAAGGTAATCTGAATTTTACTTCTCTCAAGTGATTTCTTATCATTTGGATCAGAGCTTTTCCTTAAGTTGATTCCTTATCACACGTGACATTCCACCTAAAAGAGAAAAACATTGACTTCATAATCGGGAGGTCATGAGTCACTTAGGTTATAGTAGAGTATTGTTAACTAGAAATTTTAAGGGCCATGGCTTTAGGGCATGGAGCATATACGGTATAAACTTAACTCGGTACATTATCCTCGGGCATGTCTTAATCATGGTAACATTAATATCCCTAGGTATATGTGAAACTTGTAGCACTATTTATGATACATGTATGGCCGTAAAGAAAACCTAAGCATAATCATGTCATAAATACCCTTAATTTCATACAAGGGAATCATAAGGATAGCACGGGTACAGGAATTACTTAAATTCTCAAAATCCATAGTCTTAAGTCACTAGGGGCAATGTGGTAATTTTTCACATAAATCATGGTTTGAGCGCCAAACATAGTCCGATGGTCATGAAATTATAATAGTCCCTTAAAATTCATAATTTTGGAGGATGTATGAAGTTTCACATTGATAGGAAGCCATAAGGGTCGTGGACGATAGTTAAGTTATCTTAGGGGCATTATGGTCATTTTATATCTTACTTGGTTAACTACATATGCTTATCCAACGACTACCCAATTTCATATATATAATTAACCTATCATAATAGCTAGTTGCATAATCCATTTAGTTTTAATATTACTTGATTTTTGAGTAAAACACTCCATTTAAATCTTTAACTCACCCTTTTTGGCTCAATTCTTTTATTATCTTTTAAATATTCTATTCAGTTCCAAATGATCGACTACTTATCTTTTAATCCATGTTTAGGCCTCGGTTCTTGAACTTTCAGTACCCAAATTACTCCAAATTTTATTTGGTAGATCACTTCGAGTGTATAGTTTCTAGAACCATCAAGAATTTTATGAGATTCGGTTTGGAAGAAGATTAATTTTAAGAAAAATTGAGAGGGGGTTAAGTTTTAGTCTAAAGTTGCAGGTTTAATTGAATTAGTCCCATCATTGTCTTCTTCCTCAAAAAGGAAGAAGACGAGCGCACCCTTCATCGCCGTCGTCTGAAACTCAACTCTTCTAGCCTAAGAGTGTTTTCCCCCTCTATTTCTTTATAATACTTAAGATGGTATTGCAAGGAAGGGTTAGAGACTGATTTCATACCTTTAGGTGAATAGCAACTTGAGTTATGATCCTTCCAAGCCCGTCCAAAATTGCTTTTTTCACCAACATAAACCTACAGGAATTTTTTATTAGTTAGAATAATTGAGACATTTTATCCTCAAGGCTTTTAACAATAATAACTACCAATTTAGTTTCTAAACTTTTATGATTGTGCCAAATAAGTCATAAGTCTGTTATGTCTGACGGAATGATTGAATTTTATTGGTTAAATTAGTAAAAATACTCTATACATTTGTTTTTACTCTAAAAATACATTTAAACTTTCATAATTACGTACCATTTGTTTTTGGATAAAAATTATTAGTAATTTTTTCAAAAATATCTTTGAACATTCTTAATTTTTTTTTTAAATTTAAAAAATATTCTTAAACTTTATTCAAAAGTTCAAAAATACCCATGAATAGAACGGTAAGTACCACCTTTAAAAATACCGGTAGAATTAATATCTACTTTTAGAAAAAAAAATTTAAAAATATTCTAAATAAGTCCCAAAATTTTTTATTTTATATTAATTAAATTCTTAAATGTTTTGAAAGCTTAATAATTTATTTTGTACCATAAACTCGTAATTTTTTTTTTTTTTAAAGATTGAATATGCTAAAGATCTAAATACAAAATACAAAATTTGCGTAATAGAGAAAAATTAAAACAAAAAACAAAAAAATCAATAATGAAAATTGTAGTTTAATTATAATTAGTATAATTATATAAAAAAATGTATGGATAAAAATTTTGGGGGTGTGAAATGACAGATATAACCTTCTCGTACATCTCACGCTTTCTTATTATACACCGCGTCATCTCTGGTTCTATGTTCATCTCCATCTGTACTAAACCACCACTGTACTTCCCAATTTTAATCTCTGCTCCAATTCCTTTCTAGGGTTTCTCTGACACTTCCAAATTTATCCTTCCCCCTCCTTCCATCTCAATCTCCCAATTCCTTTCTCGATTTTCCCCGAATCCCTACCTTCATGATCCTGCTCAACATTCTCCTTCCCCTGTGCTGCCCGCGCCTGCCACGTCCTTGAGCTTGAAGAATCCTCTTCTTTGGCCCATCACTGCTCCAGATTTTTTTTTACGTCCTATTGCTACTTCGAACATTTGGAGATACCGATTTTTGTGATCTGGGCTGACTAGGGTTTTCAATTTTAAGGTATGGATGTCGATGGAGGCGGTAAGCGCGTTTTTCAGAGGCTGGGCGCACCTTCCGGGGATGGTAGGAATCAGAAGGTCTGTTACCATTGGAGAGCGGGTAAATGTAATCGTTATCCATGTCCTTTTCTTCACCGAGAGTTAAATGCCCCTCCTCATGCGACTTCGAATGGAGCTACGAACGCTGCTCCCAAGAGGGGTAATGGGTTCTCTTCTGATGATTCGAGTGTGTCTGTTCCCCGACGGAGTCCCAATTTTAGCGGCGGCTCGACGTGGGGACGAGTTCATGGTGGTGGTAATAGAGTAGTTAAAAAGACAGAGAAGCTTTGTAATTTTTGGGTTCAGGGGAAGTGTGGTTATGGCGATAAGTGTAGATTCTTGCATACTTGGAGTTTGGGGGAAAGTTTCTCGCATTTAACGCAGCTCGATGGGCATCAGAAGGCAAGTGATATGTGTCTTAAACGAACCTGAATTCCGATTTGTGCAGAGAATTGTGATTTTCTTATCCTATATTGCTTCTATTGACTGCAAATGTGGGACTTAATGTTCCCTTCACTTGTGATTTTTATAGGTTGTAACTGGGATTGCTTTTCCATCTGGTTCTGATAAGCTATATACGGGTAGCAAGGATGAGACCGTCAGGGTATGGGACTGCCAGTCCGGGCAGGTTAGTTACTGACCTCCTTTACTGTGAAAAATGGTGTAGGCTAGTTCTGTTTTGAACTTTTTCAGATTTGAGAGCAATTTCTTGCTGAGAGTGAACATAAACGGAATTCTTCTATTTTTGGAAGCTAAATCGCAGTAAGCTTCATAGGAACTACTGGAGACTTGAGTTCTTGATATTTCTTAATTGGATGCTGAGGGGTAAGCCGCAATCTAAGAGTGACTAGATAGCTCATATAAAGTGATCCTTTCTTTCCATGTATTTTTATCACCGATGCTTTTAGAATTTCTTCGTTGGGGGTAAGACAAGTATCTTGGTGGGAAGGGTACGGAGTGGGGAGGATAAATATTCACATATACGTACCATTATCTTTTGCTAGTAAAGAGGAGTTTTTCATTAATACTTATAGAACTCTTTCCAATGTTTAGGGTTTTTTTTTGGGTTTAGGCTGCTGTTTTGCTCTGTTACCATATTTCCACGACTTGGCTTCATCTTCAATAAAAAATTTAGGCATTTGTTTTTCTAGACTTGGGCATAGGAAAGGTTAAGAAGTGGGTGTCCCATGAGAAAACAAAAAGCTTTCTATTCAACAATGGCAATGGCATACTTAAATTCTTAGTTTATCACGGCCATTTGTTTTTTCCATGTTCAAAATGCTGGTTGTTTTAAGAATACCACAAGGCTCATCAGAAGCTCTCTGTAAGAAGGTTTCCAATGACATTCATTTCAGGACATGTTTATCATTTTCCAATAACATCTAAAGTGATTTCCTAAAACCATCTTGGGTTTCATGTTGTCTTCAACTATTGTTGTTGTAATTATCTCTTGGGGATTTCCGATAAAATTGAAACTGTTGTTTTGTTGTTATCAGTCAGAGGAAATGCCTGAGTTATTGTTCTGTGAGGAAAGAAAGTAGTGTCTTAACAATTGCACTCAGGTGCTAGGCACTGCAGATGGCTTAGTGGTTTTTCTTTTAAGAAATAAGGAAGTATGTTATAAAAGGCCTCATTTCTTTAAACCATCTCTTACAAAATCTCTTATATTTTATAGCTTCCATTAACTCATTATTTATTATATTATATATTTTGGATTTCTATCGAAATAATGTAAATAATAATTTTGTTATCATTTTATCTCTTTTCATATATAGAAGATTTATATATATATATATATATATATATGTGTTTTTTTTTTTTTTTTTTTTTTATTTTGTGTAAGAAACAATTTCATGGATGTATGAACTTTGCAAAAGGGATGCATAGTCCATGAATATTACAAAAATGCTTTTCCAATTGGTTAATAGGGAGGGATAACTATATGAAGCAAAGAGATTTGACAATTTACACCAAGAGGTTCATCATAATCATCTTTCTAACTTATCCAAGTATTTTCCATGCATATCAAGAGAACTCCCTTGCTAATGAAGATTTCACAGTTCGTACAAATTGTTTTGTATCATCCTTCAAAAGGAAATTAGCCAGGATCATCAAACATACAAACACAAAAGAAATCAATTTTTACAATCAGGACTTGAAAGACTCTCCCAGCCCAATCGCCAGCTTGAGTTCGATTCCTGAGCTAAGCAATTATGTTTGTTTATATATATATATAAACTATTGAGACTTTATGTTCTCCTTAGGAAGAAAACTACATGCTCTACAAGTGCTAATCACCTTCAAAGTGAGTTTAAAAAACAGAAAATAGAAAAATAAGAAATACGAGAGAAAACAGAGAGGGGGGATTAACAAAAAAAATAATAATAATAAAACTTAAATTATTAGAATTTCTTTTAATATATGCACAGAAGAAACCTCTATCCTGCTTAACACAATTTTATGTAGAANTTGTACTTGAGCCTCAAAAAACTACTGCATTTCAGTGTATTTTGAGCTTTAAAAAATACTGAATGGGAGAATTTTTTGCCTAGGCGATAATAAGATGAATATACCTAAAGGTTCTTTATTTTTATTTTTTTATTTTAATTGTATTTTTCTATATATATTCTTTTTTATTTAAGGATAGTGGATTGCTTTATCGAGCACTCTGAAATTGGGGTTGGTACGTGTAAGACGTAACTCTGGGTCTCAGTTACTGTTGTCTTCTTCATGATTTGGGACAATTTTGGGCCTTATATTTAAAGGTTCCGTGTTGCTTTTTGGTCTTTCCTCTTCCATCCAAATTTGTGCCTTTTAAAATGTGGTCTAAGACATTAAATAAAAGGATTTGACATGTGGATTATTAGTTAGTATTTTACACAAGTGTTCTGAAATCTTTTGCATTTCTTTGCAGTGCCTGGCCGTTATTAATCTTTGCGGAGAAGTTGGTTCCATGATTACTGAAGGCCCTTGGGTATTTGTTGGCATACCTAATTGTGTTAAGGTGAGGCGGAAACGATCTGATATGACTTCTTATTAGCTGATGTACAGTTACTGTGTTATTTTGCATAACAGATGAATGGTATGTCTGTAACTGTGTTTTAGCCTATGGATATCCTTTAATGCCGATGTATCCTGATGTGAACTAACTCAGAGAATTTGATATGTGGTCTGTAGGCATGGAACATTCAGACCTCAGCTGATCTGAGTCTTAGTGGACCCGTTGGCCTAGTTTATGCCCTTGTTGTGGGCAATGATTTGCTATTTGCTGGTACACAGGTATTCTCGTTATTTCTGAATTTTATCTGTGAGAATTTTAGCGATAAGCTCTCTTGTTCATGAGCTCATCCCCAGACTATAACTATCACATTGCTGTCTTTTACCACTCTGACTAATGATTAATTGACAAATTTGTTGTGTTTTTTTAATCTGTGGTATTCCTGTGAAAGGAACACATTATATTCTGTGGTCTGATTCTAGTAAAAGCTCTTCTTCTGGATAGGAAATGTGGATGGAAAGAAATAGGACATTTCAGGATTCTTTTGTAGATCATAGTGCCCATTTGGGGGCAGGGTTAATGTTGTTTCAAAATGGAGCGTCCTAATATTTTTGTAATTTTCCCAATTTTCTAAATTGTGCTCCCACTAGAATAGTTCTATGCAAAGCTCCTTGGTTTCTTTGAGGATGTTTTAAAGTTGTTTCTAAAAAAACAAAGGGAGAAAATTTATTTACGTAAAATTTGGGGTTGTATCAATTAAAACCTCAAACTAAAAGTTGTATTAATTTAAACTCTAAACTGTTCTCACTGAATCAATTTAGACTCTCAGAGAATAATGTAGAGGTCTTAATAATTGTATCAAGGAGTAACTGCTCAAGATTAATGATTCTCACTTTCTTTGTAATTTACATTAATCCTTGTGTTTAAAGATATTGTATACATGTGTGAAGGTTAGGCATTAATGAGTTTAAAACGTAATTCTTATGGAGGGTTTAAATATATTCACTTGTGTAAGTTTGGGATCTAAATTGATATAATTATTGGTTTGAGGTTTTAATTAGTACAACCCTCAAAGTTTTGGAGTATAAATTGATCTTTTCTTTACATATTATCAATTTTTTGTCTAAATAATTAAAACTATATATTATCATTTAATTTTTCCTTAATAATTAAAAAAGTTGAGGAAGACGAGAAGATAAAAAATCACTAATTACATTTGATTTCAGTTCTTTTTAAAAGTATGTTAATTCCTGCCTACAAAATAGTCCTAGGCAATGTGAAAATGATGTATTAATAGTTTTAAAATGGAATCCTAATCAAGGGTCCAAGTGGAATCATTTATAAAACTTTAGGGTTTTAATGGTTACAATTATTAGTTTAAGGTTTAAGTGACACTGAGAGGGTATAAATTGCAAATTTCCTAAATTATTTTTAAGGAGTTAAGAACATGTGGCTTTTTAATTTCGGTCTATAGGCTTCTATGATCTCTTCAGTTGTAACATGTAAGATCGTAGCATTTCTTATTTGCTCTTGCTTCTCATATTTGGATGCATATGGTTCCTTCTAATTCTTGTATATCCGTGGATTTCGCTCGAATACTTTTGAGGTAGTCATCCAAGTTTAATCTTATTTTTTGCCCTTCTTCACACAGGATGGGTCAATATTGGCCTGGAAATTTAATGTGGCAACCAACTGCTTTGAGCCAGCTGCATCACTCAACGGTCATACCCTTCCCGTTGTTTCTTTAGTTGTCGGAGCTAATAGGCTCTACTCTGGTTCCATGGACCATTCTATCAAAGTGAGTTGAACTTGAGTATTTGTCATCTTTTATCTGCTTATAATTTTTTCCCCTTTCATTTTAATTCTATTCTTTGTTCTTTTAGGTATGGAGTCTGGAATCTTTACAATGTTTACAGACTCTGACAGATCACACATCAGTTGTAATGTCTGTGCTTTGCTGGGAGCAATTCCTTTTGTCGTGTTCACTAGATAAGACAATAAAGGTTTATCTCATTTACATACTGAGTTTCTAATACGCAAAGGTGGCAGTTTGACACTGTTCATGTTCTTTTACCACGGGAAAATTATACAATGGTTCAACTTGTCTTGCCCGCAGGTGTGGGCTGCTACAGAAAGTGGAAACTTGGAAGTAACTTACACGCACACAGAAGATCATGTATGTTTGTGGTTTTTGTTTGCTTAGTTATTATCTTTTCGTTGGATAATACAAAATGTTCTTTACTAAGTTACGCTCATATGCTTTATTATTGCTGGCGTTGCATATATATTTGAGACTCTAGATAAGGTTGTCATTTTATTAGTGTGTATGTTACTGACAGGATTGGCCTCAAATTCAGATGCCTCTTGTAATTAGTTGGTGATCTAATTGTATTAGTGCTTTTCAGAATTAGTTTAGGCTTAGGATCAACTAATTCCAAGTCCTGCCAGATCTATAGTGTCTCTCACTGAAACTGAGAAATGAATGAATCATTTATCCTCTTTGCTTCATTAAAGGGGAAATTCAGAAATTTGGGCTGTCTGTCTTAGATTATAGTTCCAACTGAATTTATTTTGGTATCTGGGGCCATTTTGGATACAGTGGAATGATACCCTCAATCAACATGTTCAATTCATTTATGTGACGTGATGATGGTCGTTTTCAGGGCCTGCTTACCCTCTGTGGGATGCATGATTTAGATGGCAAGCCTATTTTGTTATGTTCGTGCAACGACAACTCAGTTCGCCTTTATGATTTGCCATCGTGAGTTATCTTACCCATGTTCAGTATATTTCTTGTTTTGATTCTCAGTTCTTGGTTTTCTCTCTCTGTTCTTTGTTCGTTTTTCTGAATGTATATTGGAAATAGTGTTTTGTTTCTCGAGACCACTTAGAGATGTGTTCTTGGTGATAGGTTCTCTGAGAGGGGTAAAATACATTCCAAGGGAGAAATTAGATCAATTCAGGCTGGTCCAGGCGGCGTGTTCTTTACCGGTGACGGGACGGGACAAGTGAAAGTATGGAAGTGGTCAGCCGAACATGCAGCGGCGGGCATGTAAAATGTTATGAACAAAACACAGTGTAACGTAATTTGGTCTATCAGCTTGTCTGGTTAGTTTATACGTATTTTTCGGGGAGGTGAGGGTCTAGTTGGTTCCTTTGTAATGCACAAGTTGCAGAGGGAGTTGAGGCTGAGAATGGTTTTTTTTTTTATAAAAAATGTCTTTGTAGGGAGCAGACATTTAGATGGAATTGTTTACACGATGATGAAAGTCTGAATTTGCAGAGTGGTGAAAAGTTGTAGGTGCGCGGTTTAGAAGAAATATAGCGCTGAATAAGACCCACAGCTTGCTTGATTGCCTTGCTTGCATTGCTTGCCTTGCTTGCCTTGCTTGCCTTGCTTGCCTTGCTAAAGAGAAAAAAAAAACCATCACTTGAATGCGGGAGCTTATAATCATGATGATTCAACCAAACTTTCTGGTTTATACGTGTATTCTTTTCTTGCGAATGCTGGGTTTTTTCAATGATAAGCAGATTCTACAAAATAGTAATGAAGCTTCTTCAAAACAGATTCAATGGCGTAGTTTTATAAGATTATCTCTGATTCTCACTCAGTGTTCATCCATGGACGATTGATGAGTGAATTTAATCATCGGTCATAAATGTATACTTTACATGAAGAATCAGACACGGCCGTAAAGTTGGATATGAACATGAGAAATGAAATTTTATGGGAAATATTATTGATCCCTAGTTACACGTTGAAATGGTTCATCTCAATGGGATTTTCAGAATTTGGAAAACTCTTGAATGTTTTGATGTGGGTTGTTGACGTGACGTCGACTAAGATCTCTTCTACTTTTTTTACTGGTATACATGACTGGAGGTCGTGTCACTTTGTTGTGCCGGTGGTCGTCATTGTCAGGGTGATATGGTTTAGATGGATAACATTGATGGCAAGATGGATCTTCATCCATGCCAATAGTCTTTGTATTTTTGCATTAGTCTTTGGTCCCTATTGCCTTGAAATTGAAACTGTTCTGGTCTTAACTTGGTCAAAATTTGGTCGTTGGCTTAAAATTCTGGTGGTCTACACTTTAGGTCTGCCCACTTCATCTATTGTGAATCTTTTTGTAAGTATGCACGTACTACTTCAGAGGTTTGCTTCCACTCCTTGGTGAAATTGTAGGCTTGTGGACTTTTTCCAGTATAAGGGTGGTTAATGACATGGGACATGAAGGATTGTCCACCACATACTATCTTGAAGGGAGTTAGAAGAGATTTGCTGACAGTTGAAGCTAAATTGAGCATAGAGTATTTAAAACCAATTTTCTGATGCAAGAACACTTCAACCGTACTTTTGAATCTTTCAGTTTTTCTATTTGTCTGAGGATAATAGCTTGAAGAGGTATTTAGGCTTGACCCCAGTAACTTAAACAACTCGGTTCAAAAGGTTCCAATAAAACTCCCGTTACGATCACTGATGATGCTCATGGGTACGCCCCACAACTTAACAACATTACGGAAGAATAATTAAGTAATTGTTTCAATGAAACAGGACGCTCATGGGTACGCCCCACAACTTAACAACATTACGGAAGAATAATTAAGTAATTGTTTCAATGAAACAGGACATGGGGGTCAAGACAATGTGGCATACTTGGAAAATCCTACTTGGAAAATCTTTCCACAATCACTAAGATAGACTCGAACTCTCCTACCTTGGAAAGGCGAGTGATGAAATCAAGAGACACACTCTCCCATGATCGTGAGGGGACTGGTAGGGGCTCTAATAACCCTGCAATTTTCATCCTTTCGACCTTCTGTTGTTGGCAGACAAAACGAGTCTTCGTGAATTGCATCACGTCGTCTCCAAGGTTGGGCTAGTAGTACCCCCTTCTAAGGAGGGTGTGTAGGTTCACTATCCCCTATTGTGGCCTGCCCATGAGGTGTCATGGCATTCCTTCTTTAGAAGTCTCCTCAGGTTCCCCGAATAGGGAATGCACAGTTGATTATTTTTAGTAGGTTGTTCCCAACCCAAAGTTGGCAGGTCTTTCCTTCTCTAATCAATTGCATGATGCTCTGGGTGGCGGTGTCTTTGGCCAAGTGTCTTTTGATACTCCCTCATATTTTTCCACACAACTTGCTAGCCTGCAAGTGAGCTAACATGCACAGGGCCGCATGTTTGCTCTTTCGACTCAAGGCATCTACAGCCTAATTTGTTGTACATAGCTTATGCTCGAATTAAAAATCAAACTCTGTCATGCATTATTGTCAACACGCCTGTTTAGACGATAACTTGGGCAAGTTAAAGAAGTGGCATATGGAGTTGTTGTCTGTCTTAGACCACAAATTTGGCTCTGAGGAGGTATTGTCTCCAAGCTCGCAAGCAATCAACCATTGCCAACATTTCGTTTTGAAAGGCGCCATACCTTCTTTCTGCCTCATTTAATTTTTGACTTTCATATCCAACAGACTGTACATGCTGTAACAAGATGCCACCAAGGGCAAAGTCCAGCGCATTGATCTCAACTTCGAAGGGCTTTGTCATATCGACAATTCCTAACACCGACCCTTTCATCATGGTGCTTTTTAGGTCATAAAAGGCTTTTTGACATTGTAAAGTCCAACTTCCCTTGTTAGTTCTGTTAAAGGGCCTGCGCGCTTTGAGAATCCCTCGATGAATCGCCAGTAGTAATTGGCTAATCCGAGGAAGGAGCGCACTTCTGTCATTGAAGAAGGGGTATTCTAGTCTTTGATAGCTTTGACCTTTTACTCTTCCATGCTTATTCGACTTGCTTCAATTACGTGTACGAGAAAATTGATCCTTTGTTTTCTGCGTATAATTGATTTTTTTTCAACTTTTTGACGACCAACCACATATGAGTTTGACGCTCCTCTATGATTGAACTATAGACCACTATATCGTCTAAGTAAACCACCACGAACTTGTCGAGGTATTTGTGGAAGACTTGGTTTATTAAGGTACAAAACGTGGTAGGAGCATTAGTGAGACCAAAAGGCATGACAAGAATTCGAAGGCCTCGTATCTTGTGACACTCGACTATTTAGATTTAATAATATCCCAACCTTAAGATGATTTTCGAGAAGTATTTTGTGCCATAAATTCGGTCGAACAAATCTGTAATGATGGGTAGATGGTACTTGTTACGAACGATATCTTATTCAAGGTGCGGTAGTCTATGCATTAGCGAAGACTTCCGTCCTCCTTTTGGAACAACATTGGGGCTCTGTAGGGAGCTTTTGCAGGTCTGATGAACCGAACACTAAGTAACTCATCAAGTTGTTTTCAAAGCTCCGCTAACTCTAGCAGAGCCATTCTATATGCATTTTTGGCCAGGATTTTTGAACTTGACAACAACTCAATTTTGATAATCTATATCACTACGTGGAGGTAAGTTTTTAGGGAGATTTTAGGCAACACTTCATAGTACTCCTCTAGTATTTGTTGTATCTTGATGGGGATAGTCTCCATTGACCCCTCAATTTCGACAATAGGAATGGCCATGAATGTGGGTTTGTTGTAAGCGGATCCCGCTTCAATTGGAGTGTTGATATCATCTTCATTCCGTTGGGTTGTTTAACACTCGTTAGTACTACGGTGGGACTGGACCTCATTATGAACAAGCATTTGGCCAAAGCCATGGAGATGACTTTGTGCTCTAATAAAAATTTCATCCCGAAAATGACATCCAATAATCCATTTTGGCAATCACAAAGTATGTCTCTCCACTTCAAGTTCCTAGCTTGAGGGCGACCCTCTTTGCTACTCTCAGAATAGATAGGGTCATAGAGTTGATGACTTTCATCTTCCCTAAGTCTCGGTGCCAATTTATGTTCAATTGTTTGGCCTTAGTCTTGGCCATAAAGTTGTAGGTGGCTCTAGAGTCGACCATTGTGCTTTTAGTGGGTAACTCACACCTCTACATACATGAGACTCTTTTCAATTGGCTCTTGGGGCACTCGTATACTCTAGGCTCTCTTTACATAGGAAGTAGGAGGGGGAGGGTCGGTTAAAGTAATTTTGATTATAGGGCCCTCGCCTTAGGAATTCGCTTTTTTGGTGGGGCACTTTCTAATCTCCCTCTCTTGTTCCCGGTTTATCTCCCTCCCAGTTCTTGGTAAATTGGATCAATTGTTATGAATGCCTCCACCTGAGGAGGGTGGGCTTCACCTTACATCTTGGGATTGTTCATTACTCAGATCGAACAATCGTTCAACTGCAACATAGGCTGTGGAAATATCCTGTACTCTCTGTTGGACTTTGCCCACGACTTTAGTTTTTCTACGAAGTAGAAGACTATCTTTCTCAAACATATCTTGAATGTCCTACATAACCACAAAGAATTGTTTGACGTGCTCTCGGACGTTTCTTGTGTGCCTGAGTTTCCTTAGTTTTCTCTTGGCCAAGATTTTGACATTTTCTGGGAAGAACTGGGATCAGAGCTCCCGTTTTAATCTCTCCCATATGTTTATTGTGCATCGGTCTTCTTAGATATCCATATATCTCGACCTCCACCAAATTTTTACACCCTCAACTTGATGCATGGTGGCAAGGTGACCTTTGTCTCCTCTATTATCGTATTCATTGCCTGAAAGTATTGCTCATGGTCGAAGATGAAATTCTTTAGGACCTTGACATCTAACCCACATAAGGATTTGGGCTCTGAAACCTTAATCTTATTGAATTGAATCGCCCTTCTTGTAGGAGTTTCGTTCCCTACTGATCTAATGGTGAGGTTTAATCTAGCGCTCAAGTCTGTCATTTCTGCTCTGACCACGTCGAGGGTCGCTTTCACGTCATTTCATCTAAACAATCACCTTTTTGAAGTTGCTTAAGTCATCGATACAATCGTCTAGTAGGACAATAGATCCCCTCGAGCTACCTCCTTGCTCGAGGCCACAACTAGTCTTTGTGGCTTTCTCTTCTAGGTTGTCCACCCTGTACATTAGTTCTTGGATGGGCAACCCATCCAAATGGTCCGCTATTATGTTAACCATGTCAATCTTGACGACAAGCTCTTTCACGCGCTCGTCCAAGTACCAAATATTGTTAGGGACTTTTCATAAGTATTATGTCTATTCTTCCATGTTGACCCGTTGGTCGACGTTGGACTTATTCAATTCTTTGGTGGTGGGCATGTTTACTAAATCACTTTTACAGCTGACTTAGATCTGATACCAATTGACACAATCACACTTTTTTTCAGATGCTTGCAAGCGATTGTGCAAAACTCACTCTCACCACTAAGTGAGCTAGCCAACTCGAGTTCATGTCGCCTTCAATGAGATGATGTATACTCAAGCCTTTGACCCCGGTTGAG